TCCATCTTTGCACACCAATTGTAAAACACAACCTGTAATACTGTTCAAAAATAAGTAATGATCAGTTTTTAAAGATTTGGGAGACTAATCACTTTCAAACTGAGGATAGTACAGAAGTTGAAAAAACGCTGTTAGGAATGGTTAAATGATAATACTATGCTCTACATTCCTAATGTTATTCTATGGTCTGGTTCATGCCTAATAAAAAGAAACCTGTTTTTCTATATGCTCCAAAAGCACTAGCAGGCACTCATCATAACATCTGCCAATTTCTTCCTCTTCCTGATTCAAAAGCAATCAAACATTCTTTTTGAGTACTGCATTTTCTACACTAATTTCTGTTTACTTGAAATTAGTTCACATGAATTTAGTACAGTGCTTTCCATTCTATGGGTGTTGAGTATTTACTGACTAAAGAGCCAATTATTAGCCTTCTAAAAATATTTCAGTCCTTAAGGAAGTTAGCTTAGATCTAGATTTCACACCTTGATATTGACCTGTCAGCAAGCAACAGCAATCCATATTTTGAAGGACTGGAACTGACTCTAAAAATAATTCCTAATACTAATGTCATTATTTAAGACTCCTCTCTCTGGCTAGCTTAATTAGTCATGTTCTAATCTGTTCTCTTCAATTCAAAAGAAAAGTCCAGAAAAGAATCTACCTTTAACTTGCCAGCAAGGTACTTTTATTCAGCTAATAAAGGAATAAAGGCCAATTTGCTAATTCTGCCTCATGTAAGAGCTCAGAATTATCTTTATCCTTAAACAGTTTGCATGTAAAAGGTAATTCAGTAACTCATACTGTACTAATAATGAACATAAGAATTAAAAAATTTCAACATTAGCCACCAAAATTAGATTTGTAATACAGTTTTCTCTGTTTGGTGTAAACAAACAGAATAAAGTATGGATTCTTGGTTTGTTGCTCAGCAACTTAAGTACTCTACCAGGGAATGGGTCAGGTTCACTGGGAGAGTTGTCAGCAGACCCCATAGGTGAGAAAGGAGACAAGAAAATGGGTGGAGTCTGTGAGTTATTTTGGTTTTACTCTTACCTTTCCAGTCACTCCCGTTGTCTTTGTTTCCTTTAATTTCCCTACAAGAACACATTAATCAAAGGCTCTGTCCTTGATCTTCTCTTATTTCTGCTCTTTCTTTGATGAATGCACAAATTTATGTTGTTTCAGCTATCACCTCTTAATCTGTCTGGCCCAGGGCTCCTTCCTAAATTGTTTTGCATTTTGTATTACCAGCTGAATATCTGGATGTTCCATTCCACTAGCATCTCAAACTTAACATGTCCAAAACCCAAATCTTCATCTTCCTAAACAAGATCTCTTGACTTACCTTCCTACTTTTGTTAAAAGCATTATCATTCTCTCATCCATGGCATCATCTTTGAATCCTATTCTTCATTTACTTCTAATATCTGATCAGTTGCTAAATCTTGTTGACTCTTATCTCCCTACCTCACAGTATCTCTTACATCTATCAGCACTCTAGTACAGACTACTACTAATTCTCATCCAGACTATATTAGCTTCATAACTGGTCAGTAAATATTTGCAGAATGGTCAATGCATGAAATGAATGGTATCTCTACTTTAGGTCTCTCACCACTCTAATACATCTTATACACCAGGGCCGATTTATTTCCTAAAGCACAGCTCTAACCTTATTACTCTTCTACTCAAAATATAGGTTCCCCTCTTATGCACTGCTGGTGGGAATGCAAAATGATACAACCATTTTGGAAAATGATATGGCGCTTCCTCAGAAAGCTAGAAATACACATACCATTCGATCCAGCAATCCCACTCCTAGGAATATATCCTAGAGAAATAAGAGTCGTCACTCGAATAGACAAATGCACA